CACCCCAGCCAGAGTCCTCCCCCTCCCCTGCAGCCCAACCCCCTGCCACAGCCCAGAGCCCTCTCCTGCACCCTGAACCCCTCATTTCTAGCCCCACTCAGAGCCCATACCCCGGCCACACAGCCTAAACCCCTGTCCCAACCCCCACCCCAGCCTGGCACCCTCTCCCTCACCCCAAACCCCTCATCCCTAGCCCCACCCCCAGCCGGAGCCTGCACCCCCAGCCGGAGCCAGGTGAAAGTGAGTGAGGGTGGGGGAGATCGAGCGACAAAGGGAGGGGGGAACGGAACGAGTGGGGACGGGGCCTCGGAGAAGGGGCGGGGCAGGGGTGTTTGGTTTTGTGCCATTAGAAAGTCGGCAACCCTATTTATAGTACAGTAGTGCCAAAAGGTCTTGATCAAGATCTAGGCACAGTGCTTAAGCATAGTAAAAAAAATAATCCAAGAGTTTATAGCCAGAATAGACATGAAAGAAAGGAAGCATTATAAATTTGCACCCCTACTAGTCCAAAATAGCCCAGGCACACTTCAAAAGACACATGTTTGAGAGGATTTGTGGACAGGGCTGAGAGCATGCTTCCCACTACAATTAAGGGGTGGAAATGAGTTCTCTAGATGGTAGGCTTGCTGAGTTCCTGCTCCGAATTATTTTCATGCTGTTGAAATTTTATTGTAGTATAGGTTAGGGCACCTAGAGTCTTGTATAGGCATCTTACTAATTAAATAAATTATCTTCCCCATTTTATGGATGGAGAAATGAGATGCAGAGTGATTAGAGACGTCCCCAAAGATCCACAAGAACTTCTCATAAACAGGAATTGAACCCAGAAATCCCACTCTAGTTCCTTGACCACAAGTTTTTCTTCTGAACTGACTTGATGGACACTTCACAATTTACATGGGCAAATACCCTTTGTTTGTACATGCTAATTTGAATTTTTGAGAACTCCGAAATTAGGACATCCAAACTTGTACATTCCGAAACTTGAGTGCATAGTTTTGGCTTCATAAGTTTACAGGTAGCCTTTGAAAATTTTGAAAAGGGAATATACTGTTACTTTTTCACTGTGTTTTTAGGCTCTGCTTTAAAATGTTAAGCAATCAGATTAAAAGGACACTGTCAACTTTGAATATTAACAGTTTGCAAAAAAAATTAAACAGTCCAATTTCTGAGATCACTGCAGAACATTATTTGAAGGGTGCTATTCGAAAAACCCTTCAGAAAAGCCCTTCAATTTTTCTTCTTCCATGTTGACACTATTTATAAGGAATTTTCAACAAGGAAAAAACTAACTGACTGACTCTAGAGGAAATGATAAAATTGACTATATGCAATGGGTAAAAATTTCTAAAGCACCTAAGTCCCGTTTTTTATAAGAGGCAAAGAATCATTGAAAGGCAATAGGACTTAGGCTCCTAAGTCACTTTGGTAACTTTGAAAAATGTTTCCATTGTCTAGTTGAATAAACAAATTTCTGCTCATCTTTGTTACAGTAATCCTGGCTGTTGCATGGAACTGTAGTAGCTACAAAACTTTCAGTTTAATTTCCAAATTGGTGTGTCTCTAAAGATGTATGAAACAACAATGTTTTGAGTAATATCACATTTCCTTTTTTTGTTGGAATGGGCTCTGACAAATACTTTTGCAGACATATCACTACCCAGATGGTTTGCTCTTTGTGGCCTGGAGATTTTCCTCTGGCCTCCAGGCCACACCGACACATGAACAGATGCTGAGACCATTAGAACTGGAATTGAGCCCACTCAGCCCTCTGAGATGTTTTTTTTATTGAAATCACATTACTGTAAACACATTGTGTGTGGACTATGTGCAGTGATGTATTTTGTTAATGAACTCTTCAGTATTTGATAAACAGGTTTCAAAATAGTGAAAGAGGGGCAGTTGCCAAACAGTTTAATAAAGTCACAAATGCAGATACTGTTCACATATAACAGGAGTGTAGCCTCCATTGTCAGCACTGTATTTCACTCCAGGCAAATTAAATTCAGCTAGGTGATTTCCTTCTCTACAAAAGCTGGTTCCTGGGCAATTAAAAACTAATATTGTTTCTTTCTTGCCCTTTTCAGGAGTAGTTTAAAGAAAAAAAGTGAGTAAACTAACCTAAACTCCATATTCCCCAAATGAGAAGTGCGTTTACCCTCAACTACACTGATACTTTTCAGATTTTATTGACAGGTTGGGTTTTGAGAATGGTAAAGAACTCAGCTGCATGAGGTGTTTGTTTGTTTGGTTTGGTTTGTTTTTTTAAGGAAACAGACAATTCTTAACATATGATCACCTCTGTCTCCCTTAACGATTTGCTCTTGCCACGACATCACAGCTGATGCTTGGCCCATGAAATCTTTTAGTCCTCTTTTCCCCGTGCTGTGTGACTGACTTGTTTTCACTTTTTTTTTTCTATGAATGTCAGATGGGGGACTAAAGTCTCTAGCTAGAATAATAAAAATCCCGTTGTTAGCAAATATTGTAATTGCAGTTCTCTCTCCCCTTGCAGTCTGCCAGAGGTTGCACTGCAGTCTGTCAGGTGCAGCCGGCTCTCCTTGCTAGTTTTTATAGCACTCACTTAGGCAGATGGTCTGCTGAATTCCTTTCTTGCGAAGGGTTGGCTCATTTTCTATCCCAGGGCTTTTACTTTGGGGAATTTTAGGCATGAAGCAACATTATAACCATATATTTAAAATAACAAAAATCTCTGCACTCATTTCATTCAAATTATTTCTGCAGATACAAATGAATGTGGATTGAAACCACGTCCCTGTGAGCATAGATGTATGAACACCCATGGCAGCTACAAGTGCTATTGTCTCAATGGCTACATGCTCATGCCAGATGGCACGTGTGCAAGTAAGTAACACTTATCGCAGGATAAGTAGTAATTTAGATACACAGATTATCCAATCAATATCTTATCACAAATGACTCCTGTGTAATGATGGCTGGCAGCTAGTTTATCTGTGACAGGGTATCTCTCTCAGTTTCCTAGTGCTGTCAACACTAAAGGATATGCTCTCCTGTGGCTCTATTTTTAAAGGGATAGATTAAACTAATCTAGGGTACAGTTGTGTTTTTAGGGGAATGTTAGTCCTTAAAAATAAAATCATTAGATAGTTCTACAGGCTTAGTTCAAATGTAGGGTAGCTTGCATAGCCTCTGTCCACAACTCTGCTAGTCTGCCATATTAGAAAGACAAGGCGGGTGAGGTAATATCTTTTATTGGACCAGCTTCTGTTGATGAGACAGACAAGCTTTTGATTTTACACAGAGCTCTTCTTCCGACCTATGTAAGCTCCAAAGCTTGTCTCTTTCACCAGCAAAAGTTGGTCCAATAAAAGATATTCCCTCACTCACCTTGTCTCTCTGATATCCTGGGACCAATATCCTTATTGACTAGGGATGAATGAGCCCAGTACAATAAACTATAGATACAGAATTCAAACTGAATTTTTAGTGAGGTTCACAGTGTTCAGTAAGCTTCTTAAAACATGGGGAAACAGTGTTCTTCCACTTTGGAATGGCCTTTTTCCACCCCAAAGTGAAAGTGCCAATTTACTATCCTAGAAATTACTTTCTAGTGCTCTCTCTAGTTCTGTCTGACACGACCCAAGCCCTGGTGTTCACAGTACTTCTTTGGAAGACTTTCATACTAATATATCCCACCATTAAGAAACTTTTCCTAATATTTGGCCTCCATTTTCCCATGCATAATTTTATCCTATTACTTCTTGTTATAGTCCTTCATAGCACCCTGCATCATCTCTCTTTTCCTGGTGTGTTGTCTGTCTACCAGCTTGTGTCGACAGACGTGCGCTAGCTCAAGTAGAGCTAGCACACTAAAAATAGCCATGTAGTCAGGAGTAGTGCAGGGGGTGGCTTGGGCTAGCTGCCAGAGCACAAACCCAGCCAGAATTCCTGGTACATTCCGTAGTGGCTAGCCTGAGCCACTGCTGACCCCTGCTACACTGCTATTTTTCATGTGCTAGCTCTGCTTGACCTAGCACGTCTGTCAACCCAAGATGGGAAGCATGCTTCCAGCTGCATTGTCGACATACTGTAATGCACTGGCCACCACCCAAGCATCCCTTGCAGCCAGCGGCCCTATGCAGTCCCCTGTCCGTTTTCCTCTTCTTCAGGGCTCCATGAACAAACCCCACATAGTCACAGCCCTTCTTGGTGTCTGGTTTATTTACAACAATAAAAAAAACTAAATCAGTCTTTCACCCAGCTTTAAGCTAGGCACAGCCCTCCTCCTCCTCCCTGAAGCACTAAGCCATTAATAGTACCTAAATTTAGTAGTCAGAGTTCCATAGAAATTGTTATACTAGATCGGTCCATCTAATTCAATGTCCTGTCTGAAACAAATCAGTACCAGCTGCTTCATAGAGAGGTGAACATAATGGACAATTAGGAAGTAATCTTCTCATTTGGGAAATTTCTTCCTAATCCTGTGTCACTTAGAAGTTAGTTTTATGTACTGAAGTAAAATGACTTGTGGCCCATCCAATTTTTTTATCATATCTATCTAATGCACCTGTGAATATTCTCATCCATATAAATGTTGAATACTTTTAGGAATCCACCAAGCACTTGACGTCAATGATATGTATTGCTTATCTTCATAGACAAAATTCACTTTCCTGAGTGTGGTTTCTTTAAACCTGTACAAAGGCATCTAGAAGTAATATGTACAATACTGTATGTACAAGACATATTTACAGGTACACACATACCCATATACTGCAGAGTTGGCTTGTTTATACAGTGTTGTTGCAAAGAGTTCTGAGAGTGACAGTAAGCAAGCTTTTTTTTATTCATACTTTTGCCCCTTTTAACCCAAGCAGTTAGCCAACATTCTGGGTCTTCCAGGTTGTTTAGATGTTTGGTGATAGAATCAGGTATTTCTTTGGTGCAATCCTATTTATTTATAAAGAACATACCCTAAAGTCTTGTTTTACTGATGGCAGTAGGAATCAAACAGGAAGAGGTGGTGTCTTTACTCACAGTTCCAAGAGCTATAACTTGATCAATCCCACTGCCCCGGGGCTGGCACATTCCTCACCTCACTCAAGGATGCAGACAGGCTAGAGCTCCTCAGGTCCCCTGTGTCTAGTTAAGCTTCCAACTCACCCCTTGACTAGCCTGTCTGTTCTTCTCTCCTTCTCAGCCTAGTTTCTAGAGATAAAGATGGGGCTTTCCCAACTATTAATGGGGTGGGTGGGGGTGGAACTAAACCAGCTCTTCCCCAGCTGGGCTTTGTCTCTAATTAGGTCTGGCCCTCCCAAACAGATGCAAGCAGGTGGGTTAATTGGTCTCAAGCCCACATGATTACCTTTGGCTGGGAGGAAGTTGATGTTATAGACTGCTGGTTCTGCAGCAAGGTTCTTAGCTGCTTATGTGGCTTCTCCTACTCTGTAGGTGAGGGGTGTGCCTTAGGTGCTGTCCAGAGAGAGCTGGGTAAAGCTACTGAGAGGCAGAGGAGGTGGAGAGAGCAGCATGCTTCTCTGGGGGCCCTGCCATAGTTTGGAGCAGGAGGGTACAGTGGGGACCCTGGAGTGCCTGGTGGTTTAGAGGAGTCCTGTGGGCTCCCTCAAGGGATGCAGTTGTGAGCGAGGTATTTGGGAAGCAGAGGATAGCAGGATACTAGCACAGTGGCTGCTGGAATTGGAAAACGGCAGGTAAAGGCTGTTGCCAGGGAGCAGCAAGAGAGTGTCTCTAGGGCAAGATCAGTGAGGGAGGATGAGCAGCCAAAGGGAGCTCCAGTAATGGCTGCTAGGGGAGTAGAAATGAGAGTAGCTGTCGCAGGAGTGCTGGTAGCAGCCAAAGCTCTGCAGGCAACCATGGAGGACTATGCACTGGTGACTGCAAGTAACCCAGACGTTAGAGTGCCAAGTGAGAATCCTGCTGGCAGAGCATGCACTGGTAGCTGTGGGGACTGCTGCCAGGGAAGGCGCAGCAAGGAAGGTGAGTCACCTGCTGGTGGCTGATGCCTAGAGTGGGCAGCAACAGCTGCAAGTTGGACACACCCCAGGAAGAGGAGTGATGGTCCCAAAACGGTCTGGCAGAGACACTGGTGGCAGTGCCAGAGGGACTGCCAAATGGAGGGCAGTGATATGAAGTCAGGTGGTTGGGGTAACAGAGTCATTGTCCCAAGCACAAGGTGAGGAGGAGTTAGCAAGGGGGCAGAAGCCAGCTGTTCCCAATATGGGGCAGGCAGACCATTTCCCTCTAACAGTGCTTGTTAGCATAGTCTCCTTACTGGTTTTCCCAGTATGTGTTCCTGAGGCTGGCATTAGGTGTAGAAATTTAGTAATGGGCAAAGGAGAGGATGGTGCAGTTTCACCCTGGAGCATTGCTGGATCTGAGGAGCAAGGGGGAGGGAGGCTCTAGTGGCCTCTTCTTTGCATGGAGCTGGAGATACCAGCAGAGAGATGGGAGGAGGTGAGGGGGACAATAGGGGACTGGGGAGTGAGGGGAACTGCATCTCATGACAGTGCTACATTGTCTCTCCCCTGTCTCCCTCAAGGGGAGAGAGACAGGGAGTTATGGAGGAGCGTGCGGCAGTTACCTTGAGATGACCAAGAGGTGAATCAGATGAGGAAGGAGAGGAAAGGGGACTTGGATGGACCAGTTGGACTCTGCTGTCTTGAATTGTAGATCAGGAATCCTCAGAGAACCGGGCCAAAGAGCCGTGGCCATTGATGGGGAGTGCGGTGGGCCTAGTTGGCACAACAAAGTCTATGCCCAAACCAGAACCTTGGGAGCAGCGGGAAGAACAGACCCTGTCAGTCATGCAGCTGCCCAGGAAGAAAAAGCCAGTAGCTTACAGACTGGACTAGTGGTGTTACCCACATACTCGAGGGCACCCACCTTTACCCTTCCTGGGCTCAAGGTGTAACCCTTAATTTAGGCACTGGACCCTTTCCCATCCTGGGCTTATGGTATAAGGCATCCACCCTTACCCAGTTCCTAAGGCTCAGGGCGTAATCTGTGGATTTGCAGTACCTTTTACCAGTGAAAGAGCCTTACACAATAATATCCTTAACCTCTAGTTATTAACAATCACCAAAACAGAATGCACATGCTAAGCATATAATGGTCACCACTCCCAATAAAGCAGATGAACTTTTCCTGGTGGTCAGGATCAGGTCATCTGGGGACTCCAGCTTCTGCACAATATAGTTGGTAGGGTGTTGAGGTCTGACAGCTCTGACCTTGGGCTGTGTCCTGGAGTTGGTTCCAAAGAACTTCCTTTTGGACCCCAGTTTATATAGTGAAACTTGAGTCCTGCTTAGCTGGACCTTAACCAAGCATTTTAAACTAAAGTATTACAAAACAGTATTACAATCCTAGCCCATTACGAAACAATTTTTTACCCCATCAGACCCCACCACCTTAGTTGATTTAAATCTTGCAAAATTAGTTCTGCAACAAACAATCAAAGAACCGAACAGAAACCACACAGATAAACAATGGAGAAGTAGGGACCAAAAAGGCAAAACAATAAAGAAGTAGAGATTTCACAATCACCCTCAAGAATAAGCGATTCCTTGCCAGAGCGAATGCTATCAAACAAAGTTTTCTTTAAACATCTTAAGATCTGTTTCATTGTCTGGTGAGTGGGTGGGTGCTATTGGGACAGGAGCGCCTTCTGAACAGCCTGATATTACATTGTGTTAATGTAATTTAGGTGGAGTATGAGGATGTGACTTTCTGCTTCTTGGTTCATGGCTGCTGCTCTCCTAATACGACTGCAGAAAAAGGCCTCAGACCTTACAACAGTGGCTCGCAAACAGCCCTTTGAATCCCGTGCTGCTGCTGTGGGTGGCAATGTGAGGCAAGGACGTAGCCTAGAAAGTGTGGGGCTTGGGATTGATCTGGAGGGTGGGGAGTCATGGGAGGCTGTTTGGGGTGAACAAGTGGGGGCTACAGGGTGGAAATAGCAGAGAAATACAGAGTACAGTTATGGTTCACAGTGGTGGGTCTGGGTCACCCCATGCTGCAGAGGGATGTATTGGTGAACACACTGATTTGAGGGGTATGCAGTTCTCTTCAGTGAATCTGGTAGCAGTGATCAATCTACCTGCATACAGGGAAATCTATTTGTGCTAATGGTCAAATGAGATAATGGAAAGGTTTTTGGAGGGTGTACGCAAGGGTGCAGGGTAAGAGGGTCTGGCAGCAGGTGGTGGTGGTTCCCCTGATGAGACCAGGTATTAAGGTCACCATAATGTTCTGTAACCATCTACTGCCCTATGAGTTGAATGTGGACTGGCTCAGTAGACAGATACTCTTGGGCCCAGAAGAGAGAGTCCTGAGTTGACTGGGACTTTGGACAGAGGAATACAGATTCATGGTATGCTTGTCCAGGTCTTTTGTACAACCACTCACCCAGCTCTATCATAGAAGCAGACGAATGGGGGTACATTAGTTACATGGGGCAGCCCTGAATCTGTCACAAGCTGGGCTACTTAGCAGTTTGTGGGGGTGGAGTGGGGAGAACGGACATGTTATGTTTAGGGATATTATCCCCCTACTGCAACACTACTGAGGTGATGACAGTTGGTTGATTTATTTTGCTGTACTTGATATTTTGCATTTTGATCTTTGGAGTTGGCACTTATTTGTGTCTTTTAGTTTAGGAAAAGGGCTGGTCTTGTTCCAGTCTAGATTCCAAGAAGGGTGTGTTTTGTCTTCAGATTCCAGGACATGTGCTATGGTGAACTGCCAGTATGGATGCGAAGAAGTCAAAGAGGAGGTGCGGTGTTTGTGTCCATCAACTGGACTTCAGTTGGGACCAAATGGAAGGACGTGTATAGGTATGTGTGGCGTGATTTTTTTTTCCTACTCTCAATTTTTTCTGCAGAGCCCATTCAGAATCAAGTCCTGAATCTTAAAAAATTCTGTATGGCAGCTGGTGTTGGACTACTGATCCCTCCTCGCAGGCTCAAGGTTAGGGCCTCTTGTTTTCAGTGTGTGACAAAGAAATTATCCCTACTGTTTTCAGAACATAGGAAAGAATAGTAATGTGCTTAAGATCCAAAGGTCAGTCTCATCACTGACGAATGACCAACAGCGCAGAAGTAAAATAGGAATCTCCTTCCCAACAATGCACAGCCCCTTGCTCAGGGCTCATGGCAAAGCCACAATTGACCCCACAGTTGGGACCTGGGGGCCCACTGCTAGTTGTATAGCATATTTAGAGCTGACTGCAAGGCTTCCACTTTGTTTCTGTCTGAAGATCACCACTTGTTTCAGTTAGGTTATCTGTACATTCAAAGGTCATTTTATTTCATTTAAGGTAACCCTAAGGATACTTATTTCATTTTAAGAGGGAACATAGTCAACAGCATGCACTAGATACACAGCAGAAATCTTAAACTTCATACTTATGTCTTCTTAAAGGGAGGGCAAAAGAACTCCTTCAGGTTTGTCTGTGCCACTGGCTTGAGACTATCAGAAAAACTTATTTTCAGAACACTGTACTCCATTTCACACAACAAAAATCATTAGGCACACAAGTTCATTTGCAAGCTTCCGCAAGAGATTTAGGTGCACCAGGCATCTGCAAACTTCGCAATTTTGCCATTCCAAGACTAGTTCTGTATCCCACAAAAATGCGCTGAGAGTTTATGTAACTTCCATTCCAGTCAGGCAACTTTAGATGATTGAAACTCATAACTAGAGCTGGGCAATAATTGATTTTTTTTTCCAGTTTGATAGTAGTTCCAAAACACTGAAAAACAAATTTAATTCAGGTTGAACTGAATCTGAATTTGTTTTTGAATTTGTGGTGAAATGAAAAAGTCTATCTTGGTTTTGTTGCAGAGCAGGGATTCAAACATGGGGCCCCAACATCCCAGCTAAGTGCCCTAGCCACTGGACTAAAGATTATGAGGGGTAGGGAACAGACATGAGCAACAGCACCAACTCCTCTTTCTTCTACTTCTCTGGCTGTTTTCTGAATGGCTGAAATTATTTGTGT